AGCAAAAGTAGAGATGGTTCCAGCAAACACAAAAACCGCCCTTAATACCAAAAAATGGAGCCGGTTCCAGCAAATCAAAATGCCAATGGTAGCAAAAAATGCAAACAATTTGGCGCTTATTCCGGCAAAAAAACAGAAATTGTGTGGTTGAAGCTTTTGCATCTACGGTTGAAGCTTTTTCTGTCGACGGTTGATGCTTTTTCGTTGCACGGTGTCCTGGTTCTAGCAAAACTCGATGCAGGTTGTAGCAATTTGCAACACCGGATGCAGCTCCCGCAGCGCTGACGCCCACCCCGCTCACTGACGGTTCCAGCAAAAACAAATGCCCATTGTAGCAAAACATGATGCTGGATGCAGCTCGGACGCCTGTCATCAATTTTTGTAGCATTTGTCGCAATATCCATTGTAGCAAAAATACGCCGCTGGTTGAAGCTTTTCTTGTCGCTGATTCCAGCTATTGCTTGCGCGCGGTGGTCGCTTAGTTTCGACTGCCTCGGTTGTAGCATGCCCCACTGACGGTTCCAGCAAATATGGTTGTCGGTTGCAGCTTTCGACTACCCAGTTGTATCATGCCTCGTCCTGTCGCAGCTCCTGTCATTGCCGGTTCCAGCGCGGCCCACCGACGGATCCAGCTTCCCCATGGCCGGTTGCAGCCTTCTCGTGTAACGATGTCGTGTGCGGGTGGCAGAAGGGGTGGTCGAGGGTGGTTCGGCGGCCGCAGCAGCGATCCGCCTCGCGAGCGCCGCAACAACGACGAGGCCAGGAGCTGCTTCCTCCGCCCGTCGGTGGAGGAGTGGTGCAAGGATCAGGCGCGGAAACGTGATGCCCTCTCCCGTAGCGTAGGAGCATGGGCATGGGCCAACTTCGACGGGCTGGCATGTATCTTCTTCCCCGCGCTCAAGCGTCTCTGGGCGGCAGAGCGCGCATGGTTTGACGCGAAGGAGGCTGCCGCCGCCGGAGATGAAGCTGCAGCGGCACTGGTGCTGACATTGAAGGAGGAGTACGACCTCGTCTTCGTGCTCTCCAACTCGCCGATGGAGCACCACCTTGTCGTCAAGAAATTCGGTGATGATGATGCGTGGATATGGTTTAATTTCGTTTATGCACTCCATTTTCGTATGTCGAACTCCGATGATGTAATATGTGACACGAACTGCTAGTTTGAATATGCCATATGTGTTTGAGGGATCTGTTCTTTCTTGGTGTATGTTGTACCGCAACTTTTGTTTACAGGATACGCAGAACCGCGCCACTCCTCCATCGGCGGGCGAAGGGAGAAGCTCCCGGCCTCGTCGTCATGGCAGCGCTTGCGCGGCAGCTCGCCGCAGCGCCCTCGCCCTCCTCAGTCGCCCCTCCCGAGTCCAACGCTCGACATCGGGGCGGGAGTGGTGTGCATGTACGCGTGGCAAAGTGCAGCCGGAGGCAAAGGGATTTCTCGCCAGAGGGAATGATTTGCGGCAGAGGAGGAAAGGTGAAATACAGGATGCGAATCCTAAAATCGCGGTCGCTCCCGTATATATAGCGAAAACGCGGGCGGTTTACGGGCCGCCCATACGGGTCATTTTTACGGTATCTGAATGGATTGCTTTTTTCCCA